CATTTAACGACCCATCATAGGATTTAACGTTACTGATTTTTAATCGAGAGATCATTAGTGTAATTCTTAAAAACTATAGTGACTACCAACTAAAGATTGGATCTAAAAATGGTACAAAGTTGGATCTAAAACCAAAATGTTTCTAATCATCTAAGGTGAGTGCATGACACATCACATGGGACCCACAAATAAATCTCTTGAAGCAATACCAGATCAATGGTTAAGATTGTGACTGTGATAACCAATACCAAACAACACATCATGGCTTAATAAATAACTTGATGAAGACTATTAAATTAATATATTTATCAACATCATGCAATACAAGAACAATAAATACATATTATTTTTCTTTATTATCTGCGGGGTATAGAGAAATAAAAAGATAAAAATTAAAATAAAAGTCCAAACAAACTCTCTTTGGTTCTTTCTCCTATTTTGATGCTATCTGCAAATGTCATTTCTCTTTCTTTTTCAACCATTTCTTTGGACCTTTTGAAATATTAATACATAATAATATTATTAATTAAAAAAAAATTATAGGGAGGCCATAATTAACTTAAATGTAAGAGCTTGTTTGGTACAATTTAAAAATTAATTAAAATTAATTTTTTGACTGTTAATTCACTATTTCAATCGTTATTTTTAAATTTTTTTCTCACGGATAGGACTCACTTTATTTCTAACGAAAAAAATAAATTATCAAAATTCCTACCAAACAAGCACTAAGTTATTTTCATTTTTTCTCTTTGGCTGATGGGTTTGAAAAGAGGAATGTTTCATAGTCAACTGGATGGATATACATAATTTGCTGTATATAAAAGTATAAATCAAACTTACATGAATTTCAAATTTACTCTTTTCATTAATACCTTTCAAATAAATTAACTTTTAAACACAGTCAAACACAATAATTAATATTCTTTGATTGGTCGAGGATTTAAAAAGACAATTATTTATAGGAGTTCAGAGTGGAAAAATGGCAAAAGAAAAGACTAAAGATTACAAATGACATAAAAAATAATAAAGAAAATTAGCAAAGAAAGCTGAAACATTTACTTCACAAACAATATACAGTAGAAAACAAGAGGACGAAGTCATATACACATAAAACTACCCCTATTCCCTTTCCCATTTCACCTTCCTTGTCCCATCCCAATTATGAACAAGATTCCTTCAATTGGTGTTTTCTTTTTTCTTCATTGTATTGTATAGATTATCTGCAGAAATAACCCATCTTTGTTTCCATTAACTACATGTGGGAAACTTTTGCTTTTTTAGTGGTCTTTAGGAGACTCTAATATACAAACTACTCTGGGTCTTTCTTGAATTTTTGATTTTTTTTCTTGGGATTTTTTCAGGGTCTATCAAGACAAGTCTTCGAACCCACTTGGATATTTTGCTATAAAGGCTAATAGAATAATCAAAACCATATATATGTCATGTATAACCTCTGATAACTGGATTTTTTGGGCTACTTTTACAGTTGATTTTGTTTGAAATTTTTGATTTTTGATTTTCATTTTGGAATTGAGGAGGAAAAAAAAATTCGAGACATGGGAAAGCAAGGACCTTGCTATCACTGTGGTGTTACAAGTGAGTTTTTCATCCAGGATGTTTCATTATAATAAATTCTTTAGATATTCACGAAATAAAACACAAAATTTCAACAATTATTCATATATTATTTGATCAAATTTTCAATTATTGTAAGTAATATCCATCGGTTGAATTGCTTGGAAATGGAAGAGATTAATGGACAATGAGAAATACCCAGTCATATTTGCTGTATGCATCGTGTTCTGTTTGATTTCTGCTTCTTTCCCTTTCTTTTTGACTTTTTTCGACTATTATGCCATGAATACTGCAATTCTTCCAGTTTGCCTGTAAAATTGGTATTTTCTTTACATTTTTTCTAGATTTCTTTTCATCTTTAGTTGAAGCCTACTGTCCATTGTCTCTCTTGAACCATATTAAAGTGCAGAAATTTAGCTAATAGGTTGTCTTCTAATGCTGTCAAATTGTGTTTCTGGTCAAATTAAATCAATGCAGAGTCATCTCATGTTTGCTGTATTCATGGTATGATCTGGGAATGAACTGTTCGAAATTCTGTATTCCAAAACCTTCTTCCAGCGAATTAGTTCTCTCTGGATTGGCATTCAGATTGTCACAAGACAAATAGTAGTGTGATTGTGTCAAATGATGTCCATTTTTTATTTGTGGTATTCCTCTTATCAATCTCTGGCAATGGGGATTCCCACCTTGCTTGAACAGTTAACCACATCGTAGGCATGTGTTATTCTTACTTTTTTCAACTATGAATCGAGAAGCTTATGTTTGTCTATTATCCATTGACTTTAGACAAATTCCTTACTCAATGGAAATTAGAGGTTCATTTTCTATCATATTCAAATCTAACTTGATCCAAATTTCTGAGTGTTGCCTTTACAACTTCAGATTTGACAAATAATTTTGCTGGCTACTAGTATTGTAGCATCCTTAAGTTTTGATGTTGTGTTTCAATGTTCACCTGCTGTGAAGTAATTCTTCTTACTCTTAAGCTTCTGCCTTTGCTTAAAATATGCTCCTGACTGTATATATTTATGCTTTTCCTGGACCATAAAGAAAGAGGAAATATCTATATCAGGTAATAATTGAACTGATAAAAAGCTTATTCAAACTATTTCAGTTTGGCTATGCCATCCATTGCTGCTGCTTGAAGTAGTTTTTAAATCTCAGAATGGACTCCTGTTGCCACATTTTATAGGATTATAAATTCAGGGGAAGTTGGGATAAACGAGTTTTGGTGTCAAATGGTTTTATGATATTTCCTTGGAATTAAAGGCTGTAAAGATAAATTTAGATGATTTCTATTAAATTGTCTTTGGGAATTGACTATTTTTTCCTAAATGCTCAAGCACCAAATTCCTTTGTTATTTCTGTTTCTGATCCAAATCTTTTTTTCAATTTGGAAAAAGGGCTACAAATTATACACCCTTTTTGTTCAATCTCATAAAGAAGCCTGATGGCATAAACTTTTGCTTGTGCTAACTTCCAAACAAATGCAGACAGACACATGTGTTATAAACTTTCAGAGTTTCTTCCTGCTTCCTTCTCCCCTTCTTCCCATCAAAATGGAATTAGTAACGTAGCTATATTGAGAACTCACATCAGCATTCTTATCATAGCCTCAGGCTCTACATTTCCAAGATATACCCTAGCGAGCAGTTTTTGCCCAGAAATATCACTAAAAATCCTGAAGTATGCGTTGTCTTTAGAGTGAAAATAATCTTAATCTCCTTCCCTTTTGACTTTTGTCCACATTGATATAGTGCAATGTCAATCATCTTCCTAAAATCACAGAATTCTGATTATGATGTGTAAGTTTTGTGCCATATTTCTTTCTTTTCGTTTTGTTGCTTCTTTGCAATTATTATTTTTTTATCTTCTGCATATATCGTGTTTATTGAAATTTAACTACTAATTAGTGAGCCACGCACGTTGATTTGTTATTGAGGATTTTTCTGATGCTAGTCATTCTTTCATCAGTGACTTGACTGCTAATGAATAATTTATGCAACAGGCACCCCTCTTTGGCGCAATGGGCCTCCGGAGAAGCCAGTGCTGTGCAATGCATGTGGTTCTCGGTGGAGAACAAAGGGAACACTGGCAAACTATACTCCTCTACATGCTAGGGCAGAATATGATGACGATGAGAAACATAGGGTATCTAAGGTGGATTACGTATCCATTAAGAGCAAACGGGAGAAAGGTTTCAAACGAAAACAAGATGTTGATTTTTCTGTATTTGGAGGGTTTCCGCATGACCATAATCAGGGTTTCCGTAAAGGATTTGATGAAGATACAAGTAATAGATCAAGTTCTGGATCTGCCATATCCAACCCAGAGAGCTGTGTTCAATATGGCAGTGCTGATGCAAGTGATTTAACAGGTTTGTTCAATTTCTAGGCATGATACATCTGGCACATGAAATCTGAAAATCAAACTCCATCCTATTGCCTTCTTTATTAATTACTAATTGCATTGTTACTAAGTCACCGGCCTCAAAGAAAAAGATATAGTCAATTGGTGTATTTCGTTGTTCATCTAAATTAAAGGCACACGTCATTCCTTCTGTTAAACGTCTTTTATAATTTTGTGGAAAAAAGTGATATCTCACTATGATGCAACAATATCTCTTTTCTTGTTGTTAAGCATGTTTGGATAACATGTGGAACCAAAGGTTGAACTCAATGAGAAAGCTACTTATCAAATGTTTTAGATGGCATCTTCTTTCATTGGATATATCAGAAATGCCATTGCTTCTGATTGAATTTCTTACGCATTTAGTCATCTTTACAGGCCCACCCCAATCCATTGTGTGGGACACAATGGTTCCTTCTAAGAAAAGAACTTGCTTCAGTCGATCGAAGCCATCTCCGTTTGAGAAGATTACCAAAGATCTGTATACTATATGGCATGAGCAACAGTCGTCATGCTTCTCCGGAACTTCAGAAGAGGAATTGCTTCTTGAGAGTGACAAACCTATGGTGTCTGTTGAGACTGGACATGGAAGTGTACTCATTCGACATCCAAATGCAATAGCTCGGGAAGAAGAATCAGAAGCTAGCTCCCTTCCAATTGATAACAAGCTACATCCCATATGTAATGCTTATTCACAACGCACGACCCTGCCTGTACGTATCAAGAAGCCTGCTGGACAGGGCACGGAAGGACATCAAATTAAGAGGTATTTTTTGATATTAGATTTTTCCATTTCTTGCCTGTCTGAGATGCTACAGTTATGTAACATAAAAAAAATAAAAATATATGGATGCTTGATATTAGATTTTTCCATTTCTTGCCTGTCTGAGATGCTACTGTATATCTCGGCCAGTATATCATAAAGAAGAAATAGAATCGTGTACGCCACGTTGTTTAATGGGAATGTGCAATATATGTTATCATCCAGTCTTCAGGTCCTGACATGATCTGATGAAATTCTTGGAGTTGGTGTCTTTAATTAAATCAACAATCATGGGGTCACTTGGAGAGGCGTGTCAGTACTTAGAATGGAGATACCTTAATTCCGTAGTCTGCTTTAACATTGAATTCTTCTTTGGTTCAGTACTTTGCTTGTTGCCCTTCCATTCATTTTGCTTTATTTTCTATTTCAGAGACAAGGATCAACTCGAAAAACTTCAGATGCTGCGCCATCATAATTCACCGTTACGTTATGTAGATCTGCAAGTGAGTTGTGAATCTGAACGATATTTTTGTACTATGCTTAACAAGTCAGTGCCACTGGGCCAATTTTGTTCTATTCATTCCATTCTTTCTCTAGTCAAAGCTTCTTTATGCAGTGTGTAGTGACACGAACTAAATTATGAACTCCATCTTTGTTCTTACTCCTCATACTAGTTCTTATGGTCTATTGATTTAATTCATTTTAGATTCCCAGGCATTTGAATAGCAGTGCTTTGTTACTAAAAAACGCAGTCCATTTTATTCCCCTATTATCATTTGATTTGTAACTACTTTTATTTATTTATTTATTTTATTATTATTATTATTTTTTAGAGTTTTGGTTCCTTATCGTTTCTGATCTTAAGAATTGAATTCAATGACATGGATGTTAAAATCTATGCAATGTACTCTGTTATGATCAATTCCAATATTGATGCAGGATATCCTTAATTTTGACAAATTTGTGTCTCATCTAACCTATGACGAGCAACAGCAATTACTGAAGATTTTACCTTCCATTGATATTTCTGCAGCTCCAGAGAGGTTTATAATTCTTCACTTACACTCGTTGTAAGCTTATAGTGATCAAGCATGACTAAAATATCAGTTTATAGATAGGTTAACAGATTGGAATAACACTAAAACTTTCTGACAAATTACACTAGGGAATTATTTTCATAAATGAATCATTACACAGTCTCATATAATGAGGCTTATGCTTGATGTGTTTGGATTCACATAAGATTAAAATTATCCTAATCATTAAATTGATCTGAAGCTTCTGAAAGTGGACATGTCTCCATACTACGAGCTTAAGAAATTGAAGTAGCATTCTGCAATACTAATTTTTGTGATTTGCATTAATCTAAGGCCAGAAAGTTTTGTAGATTTTTTATTATAAGATGATTGCAATTTTTATGTTCTTTCTAAATTGTATTGGTGGGAATGGATTTTTATCTTTGATTAAGCTTTATAAAAATCAATATATGTTGAACTATTTAAGTTTAAACTGACATAAGCGTAACATGATTATATGCTGATAATGTTCTATCTTATTACATCCAGTCTTATAAGCATGTTCGATAGCCCTCAATTCAAAGAGAATCTATCATCCTTCCAGAAACTTCTTGCAGAAGGAGTTTTTGATAACTCATTGTCTGGCGTGAAAACAGAAGATTGTAGAACTTTGAAGAAACTTGCTTTATGCAATTTGATAAAATCGAAGTGGGGGGGAACAATATAATGTACATAAGGTCGGAACCAATTACATAAGAATTATCTTGGATTTGGTAAAAGTATGCATGTTGTGGATTTAAATATAATTTATTCACTATGAATGTTGTCGGGAATGTGCAGGATGTAAAAGGCAAAAATTGTATCTATGGTTCTGAAACAGCAGGAGGACTCAGTGCAGTTGTAACTGGTCATTCAGTTAACGTAAAGAGATCACGAGATGGACTGAATTCAGGTAAGACATTCTTGTAAATGGCATAACTGAACTGTTGTAATTTTCTAGGCATGTTTCTGCTTGAGAGGTATTATTTAACTTAAAAATTTAATGGAAAATAGTTTTAAGGATTACTAAATTATTTCTATGGAAAAAGAAGCTCGAACCCAGAGAATATGCATCTCTGAAAATTTATTTTCCTTTGGCGAAGAATGTTATTTTCCCATGCAGCGTGCTAGAATGAACATCTCATGCTGTAAGCTAATAGATATTGTTGAGTGTTGAGTTTAATATGTGATTTTCGCATTTGAATGCTTTGATTCATGTGCTATAAGGGTTTATAAAAGCCAGCAGCTTTCTGACCTTGACTATATTTTTGTCTCCTACAGTTTAACAGCATCATAACGTAGTCTTTGCTTGCAGATTATTTTCCTTTTTGAATATCTTTATTCTTTAGTTTGTTTTTGGTTCCTCCTGTCACTATATCGAAGATATTGATGTCCCATAAAACTTGCTGACAGATGATGTATTTTTGCTTTCTTCCAACTATTTCCTTGATATCTTGCTGGTACCCATGTCCTAGTAAAATACGTATGACAATTTGCTGCATTATCAGATTTATATCTTCTCGATTATCTGTTATAAAGACACTTGTAACTTGTAAGGAAACAAGGATCCTCCGTGATGTGGATATAAGTTTACCCTTCAAATATTGGGATATCTCTTATAATGTGCTGGAGTTTTGACTCAATCACTAAATAGAATTTTGGTAATTTAGAATAATACAATTTAAATCTGGAAATACACTTGTATGTATATGCGTAGGCATAACCTCCTAATTGTTTTATTTTCAGGATTGAAAACTATGATGAAGAGCCCCCGAAGGGTGATAATAAAGTCGAGCAACGAACAGAAGGAACCAATAGATAGTGACGGTTCTTGCTTCAGTCCCAAAAGACTATTTTCCTCGCCAAATGATAATGGCTCCCTTGTGCTGGACTCTTTCCGTTTTGCTGATGGAAGTTCTGAACAGGATTTGCTGCTGGATGTGCCATGCAACAGCTCCTTCCCACAGGCCGAACTCCTCCGGCCAACTTCAAGTTTTGGTGCCCAAGCAAGCACTAGTAGTAGCTCAGTACACCCACATCTTTTCCGACCCTGACGATATCTGTTGAATCCCAGTTCATCTCTTCACGGTGGCCATTTCAGCGCCTTTTTATTACGATTCTGGTGATTGCATTCAGATATTGTTGGCAAAACTATTGTAGTCTGAACCTTAACCTTCATGAAACATTGTACGCAAAGTGATGAATATATTTGTCTTTTTATAGGGTGACAAAGAATGTATTATATAGCTTGTGATGCAGAAAAGTTGGCAGATTTGAGATTTTTGTACTCAGGATAGTTGCCAACTTAAAGTTGAGATAATTATCCTTTTGGCATGGGCTTCTTATCTTGAATTCTACATTGTTTCATCTTCTTTTATGAAGTGAACAAAGTAAATAAACAATGAACTCAATATAAATCGTGAAGAATCTGGGACAAGTAAATGCTTTGTTCATGTTCAAGATTTAGCATAATTTTTTTTTTAATTATTTATTTTGCAGTGGGGTACCTATTTCATGTGTGAAATGTATCTTCTAACTTGTTAAAGAGCCTAATTTAAATATTTAAGTTGCTAAACAATTTATTTATTTAAATTCAATCTTAAGCAATCGAAAACAGTTTTTCATCAAGAAGTTTGAGACATGCTCAATTGTACGAGTCTATCTTTATGTTTAGAAAATTTGTTTTCATTAGCAATTTTATTGTTATTTATTTATTTAGTTTGAACTAGTCTCATGTTCATATATTTTAATAATTATTAGGTATTATTGTGTTAGTGAGCCAAGGTGTCTTAGTTGAAACTATCTTGTACATTTTATCTTTATTTAAAGAGTGCCAAATTTGTGAAGAATAATATAAGGGATGAATTATTTTGCATGCGTATAGTTCGTAATTGAGAGGTTATTAGTTTCTCGAATTATCAATATTATTTCAAGAGGTTCGAATTTGGCTTGCACCTTTACGTGTACATAATAAATCATAAATACACACAAGGGAAGGAAATATATAACTTACCTTTAGAATTACACAAGTAGGAGAAGGAGAAAAACATAATATTGAAGATGCCATGGACCTTTTATTTTGTTGAAATTATTGTGACTATGACCTTATTCTTGTTCCTACTATTATCAAGAAGACATTCCATGTACTTTGCCTGACTTTTACTTATGGATTCTCAATTACTACAAAATTCCGACTTTACTAAAATTTTATCACATACTAAAAATTTATATCAAACACAAGATAAAATATGAATGTGTGGTTAAAAATGATCATATAACTGACCATAAAATAAATTAACGATTGGCAAACTGACACTAAATTTTAAAGTCCCCTTAACACGCGTCAGGAGGCTTCATTACAAGTCTCCCTGAAACCTTAAGTTATCAAACTCGATTTTAGCAATCAAAGAATCTGCATGTAAGTTAAGAAAAGTATTGCGGTAAATATTTATGGATATAAACACAATATCGTAGAGATTATAACATAAAGTATTGCCTTAAGTGAATATATCTTTTAAACAAACTTTCTACACTAAGATCACAATATATGGAACATAATCTTCTTGCAGTATCAAGAAGACAAATGTCTCAAGCTATTTATTCTATTAACATCCGGAAATATAAGACATAATTTTTTATTTTTTATTTTAATATTTCACACAACCTAAATTTTTAAATATTACCTTGTTATACGTATGTCAATTTCAAATGTTTCATATAACCTAAGTCACGACAAGTGCAATAAGAAAACATAATTTTGTACATATCATCACATATATAATTTCAAAAGATAGTTTTTATTTAAGGTTTTAACTGTCTGGACATTCTGTTAAATGTGGAGTTCTCAAATTCTGAAAATTTCCTTTTTCAGTCACGAAATATTTTGTTTTTTTCATACTTGTTTTTCAAACCTTTTTTTCCCCCGTTGAATTTTAGTTAAAAATAAACATTTGAGGCCAGATGTAAAATAAAAGTCCAATTTAATATCTTACATAAATGACCATTTTACCATTTTCAATTATTTTATTTTTAAATATTTCATACAACCTAAATCTTTAAATATTACCTCGTTATACGTATGTCAATTTCAAATGTTTCGTATAACCTAAGTCACGACAAGTGCAATAAGAAAACATAATTTTGTACATATCATCACATATATAATTTCAAAAGATAGTTTTTATTTAAGGTTTTAACTGTCTGGACATTCTGTTAAATGTGGAGTTCTCAAATTCTGAAAATTTCCTTTTTCAGTCACGAAATATTTTGTTTTTTTCATACTTGTTTTTCAAACCTTTTTTTCCCCCGTTGAATTTTAGTTAAAAATAAACATTTGAGGCCAGATGTAAAATAAAAGTCCAATTTAATATCTTACATAAATGACCATTTTACCATTTTCAATTTTTGAATTTCACTACAAAAAAAAGGGTTCCAACGACCACAAATATTGGTCGCTAAAGGTCAATTTTTGGTTGCTAAAGCACTCCAGCGACCAACAAACTGTGGTCGCTAATTCACCTTCGGTGGAGTTTCACAGCGACCAAGCAACTGTGGTCGTTGGATATGCACATTTCAGCGACCAACTGTTGGTCGCTAAAACCCTAAACCGTGGTCGCTAGTAAAGGTGAAAGTGGGTCAACCCATTGTAGCAAACGTCATTTGCAACCAATTGGTTGCAAAAGGTCTTCAGCGACCACAAAGTGGTCGGTAAAAGATCTCTTTTTTTTTTCTTTTTAAATTTCATTCTTTTGCAACCGAATGTCGGTCAGTAAATGAATTAGATTAAAAAAAAAAAAAACTATCCAGGGTTCCAACGACCACAAATATTGGTCGCTAAAGGTCAATTTTTGGTTGCTAAAGCACTCCAGCGACCAACAAACTGTGGTCGCTGACTGGTCGCTAATTCACCTTCGGTGGAGTTTCACAGCGACCAAGCAACTGTGGTCGTTGGATATGCACATTTCAGCGACCAACTGTTGGTCGCTAAAACCCTAAACCGTGGTCGCTAGTAAAGGTGAAAGTGGGTCAACCCATTGTAGCAAACGTCATTTGCAACCAATTGGTTGCAAAAGGTCTTCAGCGACCACCAAGTGGTCGGTAAAAGATCTCTTTTTTTTTCTTTTTAAATTTCATTCTTTTGCAACCGAATGTCGGTCAGTAAATGAATTAGATTAAAAAAAAAAAAAAACTATCGCACTTCAACAACCACATGGTGGTCGGTAAAGAGCTTTATTTGAGGTAAAAATTGGTTAATTTGTACCCTTCTGCAACCAAGTTTTGGTCGGTAAAAAGATAGTAAAAAATGATTATGCGACCAAATGTTGGTCGGTAAAGATTCACCAACAACAACCAATATTTGATTGTTATAGCCATTTAATAATTTTCCAATTAATAAATATAATAAAAAATGCACAAAAGAAAATAACAAAAATAAAGAAATTCACAATATACAATATTAACTACAAAAGGTAATTGTCATTGCATATAAAATAATTATTAATAATCATTACATTAATTTAAATAACCTATATTTAACCACGAAATGTGTCAATGCACCTTAATATCTTAGTTACAAATGTCCATTAGAATTTTAGCACAAATGGTGCGTAGACTAAACGAAAAATGAGTTATAGACTAGGAAATTGTGAGGCACGAACTCCACCACTGCAGCTCCAATCACAAACAAATCAAGGTCCTTGTGAGTCTCCTACCCATCAGGAATGCTTAGCTTCCCATCAAAAAGCATCTTCCTTGCCATAATGTTATACTATACATAAACAAAATCCACAGACAAGCAGAAAGAGATCAACATGTGATAGCAAGCTCTTTCACAAACAAGAAAATCGAAAAAAAATAAAACAAAGACCTGATCAAAAGTAAATCGAGACTAACTAATTGCACAATTTTATAAGCAAAAAGTAGTTGATTTTGGATAAAAGTAAATAAGAACAACCAATATAATAGTTTACTCTTTCCTTTTTTCTCCAAGATTGCTTAAACTCGGGAAAGAGGGAAAAAATAAGATTACAACTTCAGACAATCAATTCAGTATTCACAAATTCTGCTTATTAAATGACAATAAAACTTATCATTCATTAAGTGTGCTGAACTTACACGACATTCAAGTATTAAATGGCAATAAGATTTATCATTCATTAAGTGTGCTGAACTTACATGACATCCAAGTATTAACCTCCATATTTTTCAAACAGGAACTCATCAATTTGCTTTAAGCTGGCCAATAGTGCATATACAGCCACGATAGTGAAAAGAAGAATAATTCACGATTCACAATTAACTGGGAACATTCAAGGTAAAGCAGAATCTTGATAATTGAGCATTTAAATGAGCTTCACAAGCATTTTATGTTAGCCCATAGTGTTGTCCTGATGACTTGGGCTGATACAATCTAAAATTAAGGAGTTAAAAAATGACCTTGGCTCTTTGGAAATAGCATGAGATAAAATCATAAAAACCTGAAGAGACACTATGAGATACTTATAAAAGATGTGAAAGCTATTTGGGAATGGAGATATCCCATTCACATGTCAATTGAAGATATCTTAATAAAAATTTGAATCAGAGATTCCCAAATAATATTCCATCAAATAAATTTACATGTGCAGAACATATATATTATCATATGACCAGGTTGGAAGTTGTAGCAGTGGATGTGACGGGCTGGTCGGCCCATGGCGTTGTTTAGGTGGCACTGGCACAGCGACGAAGAACTGGAACCAGACCTGAGTGCTGCAAGCGAGTTCGCCTAAAATACCATCAATAGGATGAGAAAGCTTAGAGCGGCTATTAGGGTAAACTGAGATGGAAGAAGCGAAAGGGGCGGGAGGGTGGGAAGGTAGCTAGAAGAGTGATGTGCTAGACATTTTTAGCCCCTTCGTGAATAATAGTGTAATTGCAAGTCAAGTACTTCATTTTCTTACAATATAACTTTTAGCCCTTAGTAATAGAAAACTAAGTCCGTAAATTCCTATTTTATTTCAAGTCTATCACTTCTAAGTATTAGTACTTTCAAATTAAGCCCCATGAAATCATTTGTTCAACTTAAGTCCTTATTTTGACTGACTTTGACCCATTGATTTTATTTTATTTAATTTGATTAAATAATGTATTGACTTCGATTATAGTTAGTGGTATGTAACAGTAAGTATTAACACTTATGTAATTTATTCGAGCCTATCTGGCAACGATTTTTGCTGAAATTAATATCAACTTTTGGATTGTTGCCACAATGAAGCGTGAGGAGGAAGTCAACAATTGTAGGCAGCAACGAGCAGAAAAACGCTAAAAATCATGGGTAATAGCAGAACACATTTTTTATTTTATTTTATCATTCAATTTTTAGACTTCAATATTTAACTTAAATAATTAAACACAATTACAAAAACAAATAATTTTG